CTCAACTATTCCTAAAAAGAAGACTCTTTTTTTTTTTTTTTTTCCTTTAAAAGAAAAAAAAAGTGTCGGTTACAAAACCAAGCTCATACAGTCCACATTTCTTTTAAAAAATAGGATTTAAATCAGTTATAACATGAATCTTTCTAATGTGCAAAGAAAGGACATACAAGCAGATAAAAGAGCATTTAGGAGGAAAAAGGAGCCACACCTTCGTTAAATAGGAATCTGAGGTTCACATGTAAAGACTGATTAAATACGCTGTCCAAATGAACAACTAATGGCATGTTTCCTTGTGTACACACCTCCGTTTAGCCTTTCAAGTTGCTTGAGAGATTTTAACGTCTCCCAAAAAAATCATTATAAAATGCAGAATGCAAAAGAACAGATATAAGCACTGCTTCGACCTAAATGTATGTGTCATATCTATAAAGCGTTCAGTTACTGTGTTAAGAAAGCAGACAAAAGGCACAAAATTAATCAGTACTACAGAAGGGTAGGCATCCATGCTACTGTATGTGAGAAATACCGGGGGTTCTTTACGGGGCACTGTAGAAAGAAGCACTGAGTAGAAGTCAGCACATTTTACCTTTGCCTTTCGCTGCCACTTCTCTCAAAAACACCTTCACTTTCAACAAATACAAACTAAAAAGCACCAAAGCCTCAACACACTTTTAGAATCCGCTTTCTTAGTGTCACAGTGGTTACCTTACAAAGCAAGATCAAGCTACAGGATTGGTTGTTTACTTTTTGTTTTTCCCCACTTTACAAAACAAATTCTATCCCATTTTGTTTGTTTCCTTAACAAAGTTATTGTCTCAGTGTAATAATTTACTAAATTGTTACTTTTACATCAGAAAAATCATTCATCTGAGAAGGCTAGTTACATCATGTCTACTCATCCAAATATTTCATCCAGAAGCAATCGACTGGGTCAAAAGTGAAAGAAATCACCACACCGGTCTGCTCGGAGCCTTCATGCGGAATGAAGGGCTGCAACCAGCCGAGCTGCGTCCGATAGCCCGGAGCAGCGCACAGAACTCGCCTCTCGGCTGGTAGGAAAGGCTCACGCCCGGCACAGGGGGACAGGGCTCCCACCCCGCGCCTCAACGCACAGCCTGGCATTTTGGCATGAACACCTCGGCGGTGGTTTAACGGAAAAGGCAAGGCTGTGAGCGAGGGTGCCGCAGGCAGAGCCCGGCCGCCTGCCGGGCCTCTCTTACCTGGGGGTGGAAAGCTGAGGCACGAGGGAGCTGGAACACCACAGCTACATCCGCCAGACGGGATTTAGCGGAACCGGTAGCCAGAGAACATTACACGGCAAAGATCAAAATGACCAGAGCAGCCGGCTGACTGGTGAGCAGAGATCTGTTAAACCAGCGTGAAGTCTGAACAAACAAAAAAGTGAGGATGCAGCGGGTTAGTGGGGGTGGAAAGCTGAGGCACGAGGGAGCTGGAACACCACAGCTACATCCGCCAGACGGGATTTAGCGGAACCGGTAGCCAGAGAACATTACACGGCAAAGATCAAAATGACCAGAGCAGCCGGCTGACTGGTGAGCAGAGATCTGTTAAACCAGCGTGAAGTCTGAACAAACAAAAAAGTGAGGATGCAGCGGGTTAGTGCGAACAATGTTCTTGAGAAGGTATTGCTGCTTCTTATAAGATGGCAGAAAATTCACACTCGTAAGTGACAGGAAACGTGCTCTTAAATCAGCATCCCGAAGAGCGAGCACGCTGTCAGTGTTACCATTCTTCCGTCAAAGTGAGTTACTCAATGACCGTTTAGACAGAACGACTGCCATTAAGTGACGCGTCACATTTTAAGTGCAAAACATTTTTGGCAAAAGTGAAAAATAGAAAAAACCTTAACCAGTACTAATAAAAAAGTATTTTCTTCAATACTAGCATAGGGCCTGATCCTGCAAGCACGCAACTCGGGGAACCCCCGCTGAGTCCAGCCGGAGCTCTACGCCCTAACGCTTAGAGGAAAAGGTCTTTAAATCACTGTTAGTGTTTATACTTGTTTACATGTAGTGTAAATAATACCCACACAAACACATACGCACTGCGTGTATATATGTGTGTGTATACATGGACGTGTGCGGGTGTGTTTGTGTATCCATACACACAAAATGGCTCCTGGATAAACTTGAGCTTGTGAGTATTTCGAGATGCATCATTCACAGTATATAGCTTCTCGTTTGTATTCAGTGACATCTTGAAGTTATATACTGTATCATTTTAATGCCTTTAAGGTAAAGTTAGGAGGCAACTGCTCTATCCCGTCAATGAGTCTTCCACAGAGGATTCAAGTACAGCCAACCGTCACCCTGCAAGAAAATTAGGGGGAGTTTACAAACAAGATTTATACATACTGGATCTGCGTATGTACGCATAAAAGCTAAAATACTACTAATCGACATAAGAAACCATCCCTGTCATCTGAAAATTCTGTGCTTAATGAATTTACAGGTAATTGGGGGGGGGAATTACAAGAGGGAAGAGAAGCAATGGGAGGACACAACAGATGAACTGCTTGTTTAAACAGCTGCGTGTACTGGCTGACCTAACAACACGGTCACACAGTAATTCCCTCAGTCGGTCTTATTTCCCTTCCCCCTTTCCTCTAAGAAAGGGCAAAGAGGAACTCAGTAAAATCTGATTCATTTCAAGCAGGTAAAACCCAAGACTGCGTTTAAGATGTCCATGCTTCCTTACACTGCACAAATATCCCTAGGTCGTGTTCACTTTAGTATGCTGAGATCAAGATTAGAGGGGATGTGAGTACACAGGATTTGCAAATTAAAGTGTGGATTTTAATGTAAAAAACATACCTTTAAGTGCCTAACATTAGGTACCAAAAATTCAGGTTAACATAAATCTAACTGAAGGAAAGTGAACAAGTTCACAAAATAGACCTGGAAAAATCCAGTGCTCTTCTTTAAGAGCCAGATTCTGGCAAAACCAGAATTTAGACCCAGGAGTGGGATATAACACCACTAGCCCATGGTAAAAACCACAAATTCACTTGTACTCGCATCCTCCTGTATGCAGAAACACGGCATAGGGTCTTTAAAACAAAAGTACCTCTTTGGCAAAATATTTTGGTTTCCACGGTGTGGTAAGAGCCAGACGTTGCCTCTCCTCTGCTCGCTGTCTCTCTTCAAGGCGGTGCTTGTGTTCCGTTGCGGCATCGATATTGCCTTCTTTCAGAGAATTGGTGACGTGCTGCCAAAGGCGCCTGCGGGATGGAGAAGGAGCACAAGCGATAGAGTGAGAACGCTCCTGCCGCAGCCGAGTGCCTGGCTAGACATCAGTCCGGCGAGAGCCAGACTGATCCCATGTCCCCTGTGCCGTTTTTGCAAGTCACGTAGCTCATGAACCATCACTCTCCTAGGATCTTCAGCACATTTGTGGAGCAGATTTTCAGATTTGCTCGACTCCCAGTGTTTTGCCATGCAAGTTAACTTTCTCAATAGCTTTTGTTCGTGTTCCTGACTCTTCACAACCTGAGCTTTTTTCTCAAAGCAGATGGATTTCTTTTTATCGTTACCTGTTCGCATTCTTTACTGATGATCCACCCCCAAATGACGTGTGTTTATTTGCAGTTAGATTTTTGAATTATAGGGGAATGTTAGCCAAAAGCCAAGGGTACATGAACTTGGGACACTGGCTGTTCCCCATCAGGTTACGAACAGAGGAGCTGATGCTCTGATTCTGGGGAGCCCTTCTAGGTCTGTGCTCTATATCCCCAGTTAACAATCATCAGCAGTATATAACCAAACTTGGTTTTCATACGACTGACTGCATTCAGGTGCGATGCCTTCTCACGCTGTGTTACCCTAGCGGAAACTTTGCCCAGAAAAATACTGAGAAGAAACCGACTGCAGCTTTTACATATTTACAGGGGCGTTTAAATGAGTTTCTGGTTACAGTCTGATAAACTCCATATCCTGCAGAAACACTGTAATTTGTAATTTGCTTACAAGTATCCAAAAAACCACAACAAATACACCGCAGAGCTACTGGTTTCCTTATTTACGCCAACCTTTCTGTTCCAAATCTACAGGGGCTACAGGGGAAAAATGAGTTCGTGGTAAGCAAGCATGTCTAGAAAGTAGGAAAATGACAGCTGACCCAGCACAATGACTCAAGACACACCTTTGTAAGATAAAGAGAACATATTTACAGATAATAAAATGAAGCGTAACTCATGGTTTTAAATCCTCCAATAAAATGTTCCTAAATTCAATAAAAATATTGATTTTTCTGAAGATAAGCGTCAACAGTTATCGACAGTGAATAACAGAACAAGTTTTTTTTTCTGATGTACCTAGTCAGTTAGGCATGTGATGTGGGTGCTGAGAGCCTTAAAACTGCGTGCGTGTGTATTTATATCTCACACCGCAGCACATTTTACATATTTTTATATCTATTCTAAAATATATAAAACGTGGCATTCCAGCATAAATTATAAGATGCAACATTACTTGCAACAAACACTGATGTGACTACCACGTTACCATCACTTAAAACAGGTTAAAACACTGCATTATCATTTTCCAAATGCTCATTAAAACGCACACAAGCATTTTCCCCCTCTACAAAATTGATGTACACGTCACTATAATGTAATTTATGTTCCAAAGAACCGATACACAGCTTCAGCTATTTGTGCCTAGATTAATGTGCCGTAGGAAGCGAGGCGTTTTTGAACCACACCATTTATAACCGCACTTTGCCGCCCTGTTCTGTTCCCACCCGAGGCTCGGCAGCAGAACGCCGTAATGGCTCTGCCCTTACCTTGATTCCAGCGGGCCTTGCTTTGCTATCGGCCTGATCTTTTTCCTGATAACAGGCAGTTTGTTTGTGTCAATCACTTTGGTTTCTCCATTGCTGTACGTAAATTCCAGCGTACCGTTCCATTCTCCCTGGGCCTTGCATACGATGGTGTTAGTGGGATTGTGTTTCACTTCGGCCGTAACCCTAATTCAAGAGGGAAGACAAAAAGACCACAGAAATAACTGGGACCATTTATTATCAGCATATGAAAGCACCACCACAGCTAAGGCTACAAGTAGCTTTCTACATCCGCAAAGTAATTTTTCAAGCAAAGTAGTGACGCTGTCTCCAACAAGAAAGACTCGACCCAAGAAAGCTTTGCTAACACAGCAATAGCTTTTGGACAACATTCTCCCAAAGTACAGCAGTAAACTCAACGTAAAACCCCGATACTCAGCTCTAACCCAGAAGTATTTACCTCACTAGCCTGAAAAACAACTCCTGACATTCATGTGACATTTTCAGTACGCACGTTATTTTCACACCTGAACATAATGCCGTCAGACACCTATGTCAAAGACTTCAGGTACCTTTATTTATAACTTCTTTAACTCTGCAAGTTTACTTCCCGAGCTGCTGAGAGGCAATGATTAAAGGTACCTTACTGGTCCAAGAACTGGTCTGCGAACGAGCAAAATAGATAGGTAGGACTGGAAAACCAAAATGCATGGAGAAGTTTCGTGTGCGTGTCTCTCTGAACATGCACACACGTGCTTCAGCAAGCCACAACAAGTGATCTGTAAACTCAATTAAGTTTTTAAATTATTAAACTAATACAGCACAACCTTCCCCAATTTTCACTCATCCTGACGGCACCAGTCTACGCCTTTTAGAAAACACCCCGTCAAAACAGCCCACGCCGATACTTGCCTGAACACAATACCGAAGTGGTTGACACACATATATGGAAGAATACTTAGATCAAGTGAAATAAAACAGAGGTAACCGTGCAAAAGCACGGCCTTCTCACAGACACTGCTACAATCCGCACCAGAATAAAAAAGGGGTCTGTGTACGTTAACAATTGCGTCATCAACTTCAGTACAGAAGTAAGACAGGAAGCTATCATGCACGGTGCCTCTTCACAGCCTTCATAAAGGGGAACTAAAGACACATAAATAATACTTTCATCATCTGGAATTTCAGCGCAGAAGTGGGAATCCCCAGTAGGGAGCTACCGCTATGGGCAGCGATGCTTTCGCTTCTCTCCTCCTTACGGGAGCTCCACCTGGAACATCAGTTCATCTGCAGGACTCGCACAAGCAGCAGCAGCTGGTGCAGCAGAAATATTGCCTTTTCTGCGTACATTTTTTTGATCCTGCACTTACAGCAATTTTTACAAGCGGCAAAGCCTGGGAGAATACATTCACTTTAGTTTAATGAGAGAAATATATCCAATTCAGTTAAATGACATAAATGTGTAACTACAATAAACTGTGCTCTAAAGCTGTAAGTCACCTCAGACACCAATAGGAAAAAAAAAATCAGATATCTATCTATAAACTACTCCAACAGAAGAACCAAACAGGTGCCCAAGAGTCTTTCCATCGAAATCCAGTAGCAGGTAAACAAGAACAAGACCGTAATTCCTGTACCTGTGGACTTTCCCTCCATAGAACGGCTTGGTGTGGAACGTGACCGTAGCAGAATAGCCCGTTCTGGCACAATTGATGTTGACTTTCCCTCCGAGCTCCACCCATGGGATGGTAAGTATCGAGCGAGCATAGGCACTGGGCAGGGTAAAAACATACTCTTCTTCATGTTCCATCAAGTAAAGAACACCTACATAGGAAAAAGGTTGAAAGTGAAATGATAAAAATTCACTGCTAAGACCTGACCGTCACTGCCCAATTACTGCCATCAAAATGTACTTCCACAGAGGTCACAAGACGTGCAGCTCGCCTTGAAGGAGGGCACTGTCCGCTAAGGGAAGGAAAAAAAAAAAAAAAGTCTGCCCTCTGGAACAGATTTCTTCAAACAAACATTTTCAAAAGCACACAATTCGAATGTGTCCCCTGGGGTCCTTCATGGTACCAAACATCTTATCAGAAAATTCAACTGGATTACTTATTTTGTGTTATTGACAAGCAATAAATTGTTAAAGTTGGAAAAAAAACCAAACACCACCACATTTGCTTGGAAAAAGCCAAACTGAATATTCAGATGCTCACTCAGTATCGTATCATAATCTCTCTCCAGAAAAAAAAGATGGGCATGGCCAAAGGACCCTTCAGTTCTCCATTTAACCAGACACGACCAAGTGCTTTCTGCTAATTCCTTACGGACGCATTTGTTGGTGGGAGTGAAAGGCTTTCTCGAGCTCTGCCTGGGTACAACTAGGAAACATGCTTAAGGAAGCCACTGAGAAATTTCCTCCAAGTTTTGCTCCTTCACTTCCAAATGCCTGGTTTCCCCACACAGCCCTTGCAAATTCTTGCATAATCAACGAGGGGTCACCTGGGCCACTGCTTTATTACCACCAAGACCAACGTCTCCACCACGCAGAGAAAATTACTGGCAATTCTAATTTCATTCTGTAAAGGTCCCTCCACCCTCAGCATTACGGGGTTGTAATTAAAAACAACAACATGCAGCAGCAGTTGCGTGTCCCATCAGATCTCAGCCTCCCCTGGGCTTAAGGATACAGCTCTATCCCCACCATGGCTCTAGTTTGGTCTTTAGGATGACAAAGAACAGGACGTCAGACCAGGTAAGGGCACCTTAAACCTTGCACACAGAATTAGATCATGCCAAATATCTGTAGTATATTTTTGATTAGAGTTTTACACTCTTTTGTGTCCCACTTAACTGCCTAAAGGCAAAAATTACAGGTTCGAAAATAATTTTTCACAACAGGGATTGAAAATAACCCGTCACAGAAAGCACTCAGAACCCAGAAATATTTGGGGGCGGGTGGGGGGAGGATCAGGAAAATGATCTTCACATAGTAATCGTATCTGTTTAGAAGTAAGATGAGCTTGAGCCAATTTGCCTTCACCCTGGGGCAGATAAGGGAAGAACACATTTGTAGTGGTATTGATTAGTTTGTCTATCTGGTTAAGGAAATAATGACACTAATTTTGCAAAGTGATCTGACACGTACCGATGAAAAAGCACTAAATAGGAACAAGACACTACTACTGCCAACAAAAAAATATGCCGTTAATGCTGTATGAAAACACATAGCTAAAAAACATTCAAAATTGAAAAGCACAGAGCTCTAACAGAATGGTCGTTTTAAATATTGGCTCTGATTAATAAAACTAAACACAGGAAGCTCTGCAACTTGTCACTTCTGCCTTCTGAAACTGTTCCATAGGAAAACATCTTTTGCAAACCGGAATAGTTTTATGCAGTTGTTCTCAGGACTTCTGCAACCTCAGCCTGCCAGCAACGCCACAGCCAGCGCTTCCACTCCAGCAAGTTTGATACAAACGAGCTGGAGAGTGCAAAAGCACAAACACAGAAAAGCAACGTCTTCAAAGGACCTTTAATCATTTTGCCTGGGTACGTCACAAGTTCCTGGTGTCGTGTCCTGAACCCTCACCAGCACGAACACGCGCACGTTTTGCCTCAAGCTTCCTCAGCTCCATACCTGCAGGTAAGCCCAAGCTGAACACGCGGCAGGAAGGCTGAGCCACCCAACTCACCCGGGACACGCAGCCAGGGAGAACTTTTACTCAAAAAGACAACTCTGCTTATCAAACTCCTTAAATGGATGCTATTATAACATTAAATTAATAAAGGACAATCAAGAAGCCTTTTAACTAGATGATGATACTCAAAAAGGATCAAAGAAACCAAACGCAGAACGGAAACCTGACAGTCTGCAGTCGGGCATTTTCCACATAAAGAACTACAGGTTTTAGACTCAAGTCTGTCAGCTTTTCTTCCTCTTCCCATTTATTCTCCACCTTCTTCATTACAGTCACGGGCAACAGACGTGTAGCAGCAGGGCAACAGCTACCTGTGAGGTCACGGTTCCTCTGTCTTAATGGTGTAAGCACAGACACAATCCTCACACCATTGAAAAGCACAGTTTGCCTCGAAGCATCAGCTTCCAACATGACAGTTTGGGGAGTTTTCTTGTTGTCAGGTTTTTTGTGTTTTGTTTTGGTTTTTTTTTAAAAGACACAAGGTCTAATAGCAGTAGGGTGAGCAGGCGTGGTGCTCACTCCTGGGGGAGAACCTCACTGTATTTATGAACCCCACCTTCACGTCAGCTTCTCCAGAGCCTCCCTACTTCCCCGGGGCCCAGCCATCCTCTTCTGACCGTCACTGCATGTCCCCGTGTGAGGGGAAACTGCCATGATAAACACAATTTCCTTCTGGGTTAGTATAGGTTTGCTTTTGTCTCTCTGATGGGATCGATAGCTTTTTTCCTCCGTACTCGAGTGGGAACGAACGCTGCCAAGCACACTGAAAAGTGAACAGCAAGTAACAGCAGTGACCTTCAGTGTAAATATTTAACCACCACAGCACGTTAGATATTAAAAACTGAACCCAGCTCTCCTGGCAGTATTTTTAGCACCTGGTAGCATATTTTTTTAATTCCTTAAATACCTGAATAAATACATTTTTAATGAAGTGCGATCTCACTTGAACTATGACTCCAGCTCAATAATTATAATCTAAAGAAGAATAAAGGGAAGATTTGAAATATCCACAACTTCATACTACTTTTAGTATTAACGTGACGGTGAGGTTCGCATTCCGTCGTTTGCAGAGTCCCCGTGCAAAACCTGGTTTAACTGAAGCACCACGAAGACCGTAGCTGCACCACCAGGGCTGAAGTGAGACCCATGCTCTCTTAGGGACGAGGAAGCCAAAATGACACCGAGAGCCGACATCTGTAACTGCCCCCACAATCTGAATTCATGCCCTACCCTAAACTGCCCAGTTTAAATCTTGAGAAATAAAAGGCAGAAAAACTAAAATCTAATTTTAAAGTGTTGTGTACTTTTAACATCTGCTTCTAAGTATCACTACATTTTGACTGATCTTTAAAAATATTCTGCTGGAAAATACCCAGGCTATTTTTCTTCCCTTCCTTCCCCACTGTAAGGGATTATTCATTTTTAGTTTAAAAATGGTTGTAAGTAAATATACATGAAAAGTTGCAGAAGATTCTCCCATTTTCAGTAACGTTTCCTCCTCTCACATCAAAAACTTATTTTGGAAAGTGCAAATTCCTTTAAAAAAAAAAAAAAATCTTAAGTATTTATAGGCAGCTATTATGCATGGAAGAACGCACCAGATAAGTACTCTGGGAGGAACAGTGAATTTAGTAATCTAGTTTATTAGAAAAAAATCCCACAGAGAAGGGTGTATTTTTTGTAAACAAGTGCAGAATTTTGAAATTTCCCCCTTGAAACGTCCTCAACAGCATCTACTCCTGCTTTTGACTAAGGCAACGTATTCACAGTCATGCTCCTTTCCATGACTTCTCAGCCTGCATTAAAGTAAGCGACGTTCACGGCCTATCGTTTTCCCTGTTTGACTATTACTTGTCCCTCACTGATGCTGCAGCTTTGTGAATTGATTTTCCAGTAGCACGTATTGACGAAATACCCAGAGGAGGCTCTGGATCAATAAGCCGCAGAAGAGGCATGTGCAATTTAATGCTCCCACCCGACTGTATGGAGATCAATCTGAACAACAAATGGTACGTGGGACACAAACGGCCTGGGGCAGTTTCCTAATTTAACCGGCTCTTCGCTCTGTCTGCATTACTCGTGGCACGGTACAAACAGGAGTAAGTTACAAACGGGAGTAAGTTACGCACAGGATGAACCGCACAGGGGTGCAGTGCATCATCAGCCGCGCAGATGCGCAGGGGAAAACATGAGATGCCAGAACCGGGCTCTTAGCGTCTCATAAATGTTCCAGCGAGCTGTGCTGCACCGCTCATTTTCCAAAGACTGGAGCCATTTGCTAAATTAAGTAATGAGTGCCATGCCATACGGAAACTGTTCTGAAACCACTGGGCTAAAAAAATATTAATACAAAAATTGGTACTAGGGAATTATTTAGGTAGCTCTAGTTGCATGGAATAGTCAATCTTTGGGACCGGTAAATTAAAAAAAATCACTACTGCCTCGGGAATAGAAATTATAGACCTGTACATCTATAAACACATACACATATTTGAATAGGAAAAAAAAAGTGAGAAAAAAATATTCACTGCTTCCATTTAGATTTTACCCTGGAAAGAGCACTGAACCTTCTCCCTACCTACTGAATCTTTTCGAGGTTGATTTCAATTTAAAAAATAATTTTTGGAAGCCTATACCTCACTAGTTTTTAAACATTTAAAACAGCAGGAGTGAAAGCACAAGACATAACTAGCCACTTGATAATACAGAGCAATCCACTCAAACGTACTTTATGCTCTCTGCAAAATTAACCCGTGAATCAAAGGCGACACTTTTTTGCTGGGATTTTGCTGCTTTGGAACAAAACCCGGGAGCAGAAAAGGAACGCACACAGCCCACGCCGAGGTGTGCTCCCCACAGCCTTTTCCACTAAAGCATCCTTATCCTACAGCCAGGATCTCTTTGAAGATTCTTTGGACCACATAAAAAAACATTAAATATTTACATTGACCCTCCTATCCCTTGCTAATTTAAATCTTAATGTGATCCTATTCATTACAGCCTCTCCTCCTCCCTCCCTCTCTCCTTAGTACATAATTAACATTAACCAGAATTAGGGACTGCACATGCAACATGAGTACTTTTATGCAAAATACTCTCTCTTCTCTTCAGGGTAGCTTTCTCAGGAGGAAACTCAATGCTGACTACTCTGAAGAATGGGGGGTTTTGTTATATAGTGAAGAAAAAGTTGAGACATTTCATTAGCAAGCCAGCTTTAGACCCCTCATAACCACAGATGAAGGGCTAGCATGTAAAAAAGCTTCTCCCATGGATTTCCAGCGGTGCTTTCCTACTCGTTCTGCATCTCCGCAACTGATCCTTAACGTTGAATCAACAAACAGAAACCACAGATAGAAAAACAAAACAAAAAAACCCCACCTTAGTCACTTTGAGGGGCAACATATACTAAAACTTGCACGATTAAGATACTGAGCCGTACCCTTTCTATGACATGACCACGCTGTCCTCAAACCCCCTAATTCTTTAAACTCTTACAGAAGCCGTTGTACTTCCCTGACATCCCATTTCAGCACAACCACAGCCGCTTCTAACAACAAAGCATAAAAAGCAACATCCTCTATACATCCAAGGACATTGTGACAAGTTCAAAAAAATAACACTTCAAAAAGCACCGCAGAAACATTACCGGCATATTCCTTACACAATATAGGTCCAAAAAAATTCAGTACTGCTTTATTTCTGGAGAAAGCTTCATTGAATTGTTTGAAGGACACACACAAAACTATTTAGTACAGAGCAGAGTTTCAAAACACATCACAGCTGTTTGTATTCAACACTAAAGTCACAACAAGGGTACAGGTCAAACAAACTGTTCTGATAAATATCTGAACTAGAATAAGATGGTCACTCCCTACCAGTTAATTATCCAAAACATTAATTGCAGCTCTCTAATGCTCTGTTTGGAAGGAAGATTTTTTTCCTACGTACATCAAATGGTACTGAATGAATGCACAGTATGATGAAACTACTATACCAACATCAGAATGATTTAAACAAAGTCTCAGAATGGACACAGGTATATTCGAGATATCAAGCAAATTGCCTTTCGAGTAGTATCATGCAGAATCTAAAATCCTTACTGAGCTAACAAAAAGTCAAAGGCACCCACGGGTATGCAAGTAAACTCCAGTAACAGCGAAAAAAAGGGCCGAATTCTCATAAAGGGGACAAAAAAAAAAAAAAAAAAAAAAAAAAAAAAAAAAAAAAGGGGAGGAGAAAAAAAAACAAAAGAAAAAAAAAAAAAAAAAAAAAAAAAAAAAAAAAAAAAAGAGGAGGAAGGGAAAAGACACAAAAACCCCAACAATAAGACTTGATTAGTTCGGTCATCCAATGCACAGTAGCAAAAAAAGAAACAAACAAATCCCAGGGATTTCTCTGATTCATGAGATGTCACTTTGCCTCTTATCAAAAGCAGGATCAATCATAGTTCAAACCTTCCTGAGAAACTCACTTAATCTGGTTTTAACAGTTCCAAATAAGATTCTCCAACCTCACCAGCCAACCTTGTTGCCAGAAAGCTTCTCCTAGTAGCTAACTTTAGTTTCTACCTACCTTCATACACCTTCCTACTAACAGCGCGTCTTTCCACAATTGACTCTTCTAGAAGACTAACTCACCCCATTTGAAATGCTGCAATGCGTAACATGTCCTTAAATACAAAGAAAATTCTCCAAATTATATTTCACATAAAAAAATTATTAGGCTCTGCATTACCAGACACATAAATATAGACATCGTTTTTCCACACTGTAAGTCCAGTGGCTACTTTTTTTAGGGTTCAGCAATCTATTCCACAGTACTCAGGCTGACCTCAAGCTAATACAGAATTTATACTTATGCAGCACATGAGAAAGAAATGTCTGCAGCAGATTCTACTTTTTGCACAGCTTGACAAATCTACGTGCTTCCCGGGGACTAAAAGAAATGGAAAAAAAAAAATAAAAAAATTTGAAGAAAAGTGTAGTTTCGAGTGAAGAAACCGCACCGCGAAGCAAACATTTTAAGCCAAGGCTGGCAGGTTTAGGCTGGCTGTTTTCAGATGACAGAAAAGCTTCAGCGGTACAACTTTTTGCTGCCGATCGTCAATCCTTAACATGCAAGAGAAATGCTTGGGCTGCACTGGAGTTTCTCCATCACTTCCCAGAAATGCTGTCACCGCGAAGCTGCATGCTTCTGCACTGCTTACATGACCAAAAAAAAGACAAATGATAACTACAAATTGGGTAAACCCAAACTTCCTCCCAAAACATCCATCATAAAGGCAGCAGCAAACCTTGCAATAAAAGAGTTCACCATTGCAGATGTTCCCCAAAGCCTGCCTCCGCTCCTGGGATACTTCCAGAATCATGGGGGAAAAATAATAATAATAAAAAAAAAGGATAGAGGAGAACTTATTCTCATAAACAGACATTAACCAATCCTTGGGGTAGGGAAGTGGTTAATTCCTAGACTCTTTCTCTCTCAAAACTGGGACACAGCAGGACTTTGAAGTCTTAAATAATCCCCACAGTAGACACCCCCAATCCCAGGGAACTGTGTGAGCTAGCAGCAAGAAAAAAGACATTTCCCTACTCCTACATATTCAGAAGTGACTTTCTGTTTAATTTTATTGCCATTAAATAGTTCCCTTCACTGAGAAAAAAGAGTACTAGAAACGAATCTGTACCGGAAAAGCGCAGCAAGTGAAACCAGTGACTCAGGCTGGCAGCAGTACAGTCAGGAGAGAGCCAGAAAGACCAATTTCCCTTCAGACACTTCCTTCCCAACTTCCTTAACTCCGTCTTAAAAGCAAAATACCCAAATCATAGGGAGAAGGAAACAGCCGTGCTGTTATAGACTGTACCTATCGCAACAATTGCAAATCCAGTAGTAAGGACGTTTCATGGCTCTTCTACAAAAAAAAGGGAATCTATTGCCATCAGGAAAGAAGCTACCGTAGCCCTTTCTACTGTTTGAGTTTGTTCTTTAGTTCTAGTTAGTAGAAACAGCAGAACATATCTGTACGTTTCTCACCGTAATTGTGGTGGTGTTATTAATAAGCAAAACCACATCACTACATTTCCCACTCGACTTTTTTACTACCTTTAATATCATAGTATTTAACATAATGATGACAAAAAGAAGCATTTACTGTAAGTTGTCCTGGTACTTCTGAGATTACAGTCTAAAACTAGTTAAGTCAAAACACTAAAAACCATACACAGGAAACTACTCTCAAATAGCAAAAAGGGCTGACTAAATTGCTCAGAAACATTAAATCGATACATTAGCAGTCCGTAATGACGCTACTGCAGGTGTGTTTATCAGTTCAGATCATCCATTAAGAATCTGTTACGCTTCCCTCTATTTCTGAATTCATGTTGAGCAATGACTTATCACAAAGCAGACTGTATACAGTCTGATGATGATATATATGATACAGCAAATCACGATTTATACCTTGACTACATGACTTTCTATAAAGCTTGAGATAACACACTATGTAAACACAACAGAAACCACAATTCTTTGCAGAAACTACGAAAGAAGAATGTTAGGCTTCAGTAAAAATGTAGGTTTTGCTATTGCTTTGTTCCAGTTGTGAAACTGGAATCACATAGTACTTTAAAAGTGAGCAAGACAAATAAAAGTGTTCTTACAGAATATGCTGTCAGCAGCCATTTGCTACTGCAAAACTTAATTGTATCTGAAGTACAGTCATATATTAACAGACTCACATAACTATAAGCACGCATTCATATATGTAACCTGTCTCTCACATTCCGGCTGGACAGAAAAAAGTTCTATGAACCCTACGGTTTTGATTCCAAACTTCACAAAAGCAAATAGCCACAAGGTTCAAAGGAAAGGTCAGAGGGAGAGCAAGCAGGAAAATATCCGGATTTCTGTTGTGTTGACACCCACAACATTAGCTTCAAAAAAACCAAAATAAAAGCACATTTCTTACCTTCACCTACCATAGAAACACCTATTGACATGCCCATAAACTTGCTTTTGGTCCATACGTGAGCGTTCACGCACATTTTCTTCTCTTTGCACTCACAGTAAAAGCAAGATACCGGTGGATGATGGGACACTTGTTCAGCTACAAACCTCAGCTTGTAGCACGTGGACTGGTCCTGGCCAAACTCCTTGGTTGGGTCCTTCGAAACCATGGAGGCACCGTTAGTTCTGAATGCTTTCACTTTATCTTTAGGCACATCCCATGAGCAATGAAACGTTTCACCAATTATAGGGTTATAGGGCTTCTTGGCAACCGCTCCCTTTCGGCCTTCGTGAAAAGCTGTTAGATAATACTCCACAAAGCAGATAATTCTGTCCTCGGGAGTGGCTCCAGCTGCAATTGATAAAAACAGGTCTGGATGGGCCATGAAATTTGCATACATCTCCAGCAGGGATCTTTTCTCCAAAATAAATGTTGGAAGCACTACCTGTATGCAAAGCAGACAAAGGCAGATATGATTTCCCCATGATCACACTACCACGAGGGAAGGGAGGGGGAGAACAGTAAAGACAGCTGCAATTCTGGCCCTGCCAAGTTTGGGGACAGGGTATTTGCCTCCCCTGCCACAGTCATTTCATTTTCTTTGCAGTGGAAATAATGAGTGAAGGAAAAAGCAGCGGCCTTAATAGCCATGCAGGCTGCTTCCTATTTCATTATCATTCTCAAAAGCAGCTCATGCAACAGGGACGGGCTGTTCCGCTCATGTGGAAATCTGCCTTTTGCTCTCCTCTCAGTTAACAAACCAACCATTGTTCTCCTTGTTTACGGGAGGTAAAAAACATACTTTGATGTAAATTAATTTACAAACAATTTAATCAAACGTCAACAAGCCCAACTAATCATAACCCTCCAAAAAGGGAGGGGCACACCCTCCCAAACCAGGAGAAGATGAGTATTTTATATAAACACAGACATCACCAGCCTGGAAGTGGTGGAGAGCATCAGGGGTACATGTACCCCTTCAGTCAAACATCTGGGCTCCCAATTTCATTCCTGGGCCCTTGATCACCCACTGCATATCTATTAGGTCCCTGCAAGCCTCTAACAAACTAAGCCAACTAGATTCAACCAAAACCCAATGGCAGGTATTTTTCCAAGGATAAAACCACGCCAAAGATCCTTCTCAAGAGGTCATAGGCAAGAAAATGCTCTCCGTCTGACTCCCTCTGCCCTACTCTCTCATCGTATGTGTCAGGTCCCCTCTCACCTCCCAAGTCAAATCCCTTGCCACCCGTACGCTCTCCTGTCACCCCCAGGCACAGGGCACGTTCCCTCCATTTGAGATTGCACCCTACTACTGTGGTGGGTCCCTGCATGTCTTCACCTTACTTCAGACAAGTTGGAACAAGAACAAAAAAACCTGCACAAACTGTTATGTTAATGTCCTGGGACTACAGAGGCTCTAGGGGACCCCGAAAAAATCTGGGACTGAGCATTAGGCAGTCTGCACCCAAGGGAGCCAGCCCTGAGCAATTTGGATGCAGTCTCGAGTGGCTCATCTAGCAACGCAGATGTTGCTAAAGTCACCCACTTAGGAATAACACTTTTATCAAAGGTTTCAGCGAAACATCCTGGAGTGCACTGCAAGACAGACAAGGGCTATAGGACCTAAAGTAACTTAGTTGTCTGCCTCACACTCCACACCTGTGCAGGACCGTCCCAGGGGAGCTCAGAGGTCACTCCTGCGTGACCAACAAGGAACTTCTGGCACGCACAAATCTGGCTAGAACCAAAGTGGCTGATGCAGACCAACAGCTCTCCTCTTTTAAAGCAATGCTTCTGCTTTCCTTTTTAATTCCTCATTGCATTTACTTCCTCCTTTTCCCAAAAGCAAGGGTTATTTACAGCAGGCAGGGAGCCACCTTTCAATCATAAACACATTTGCTTTCCCTCCTGCTGCCCCAGCTTGCTATTCTAAGCAGGACGAAAGCACAGTTCAGTCCTTCTGGATCCCATGGATAATGCAATAGAAGCTGTCAAACTTTTCTTTATCATTTAGTTCTTTCCAAAGAAAGCTTGTAAACATGAAAAAAAATTCAGTCACAACAACTCAAACACAGTCTTAACCGCTACACAGTAAGTCAACGCACCACAACTACAAAAAAAGATAACTGCTCCGTTTGGTAACGTACACATTTGCTCTCTCCTTCTATGTAATATTATTTACACACATAGAGCCTTTTATAGGCTAATAATTTTTACAAGTTTAGATAGCAATCAAGGAAAGTTCCACCTGTAACATTTCTCTGACTCTAGACTGTAAGCCTTGAGGACTGCACGTGGTCTCTGTTACCAACCTAACGAGGCCCCGAGAGGTACAGGACCTTAATTTTATACTATGAGTGGGAAACTACCAGGCGCTAAACACAGCCTACAGTCCCCATGGTGGTGTGACAGCGAGGGGCTGAGGAGATTGGGTTTTAAAAGTGAAATCTAAAACTTTGGAAGGCAAAGTGGAAAGGCAGTAGATTTTCTTAAGGTATTTTTAGCTCTTTAAACAATTCCGTCTTACTCACAGCGTTCTCATTCTGACCAAATATGCATTATCTGATATAATCTTTTTAAAAAATGCAATTCAGCATTACTGACCCTCAGTACAAGATCTCATTTTAATATAAATTGTATACTCAAAGATCAGGTTATCAAAGGGGAAACTGACAGGAAAACACAGAAAAAAACCCCATCATTTCTGTCTAGAAATACTAGTAGTGACTATCATGAGTTCGCTGCACAGACTTGAAAGGTCAGAGAAACTCATTTGAATAAACACTCTGCATCTCATTATGGCCAAGGGTCTCTCTCTAAAAAGAGCGACCTTTAGTAGCACAAATGGAGGAGAAGAAAACTACAGACCATAGTTAAGATAATGCAAATTTTATGGTACAACATTAAGACTGCTGTGGTTTCATCCTGCGGACTCGATCCTGTAGTCCCCGTATCTACTCTCTCAAGTACTAGCTGTGTGCTTTGCAGCTACGTACTTAACATAGCCACTAACTGAGATGTTACGAATCACTGGACTCTTATTATTGAGTTTCAAGAATCAATTTAAAATCTGAATAAAGCTTGAACTCCAGCTCAAATCATCTTGCTTTAAAAGCCCACCTAAAATGGAAACTACATCCTTAATTGTAGCAGGAAAGGATCCGCTGCAAAACACAGAATTGAATTGTTTCCACAAAAGGAGGCAAAACCACCTATGAAAAATATTTGAGTTTTAAAGTTTACACAACTCCATTGCCTTTTACTAAACAATCTCATAGCCTCGAAGTTTCAATATGCAACACCACCACACACTAACACGGTTTTTTAAAAAAAAAAAAAAAATCACACCAGTCAATTCTTTTTTTAATTGGCCTTATCTTGATTTCTGCAGAAATCAGCAAAATAGAAATAAACAAATTTGGAAGCGTATGGCATTCTTCTTGCCAGCATTGGCCTGTCACGCACTTGTGCTAGTACGCTAGCTTCCAAAGGAATGAGGTTTTCAACGCTCCTGCAGCCCAACAGAACGCACTGTCCAGAAAAACACACTTAGGACCTATGTTCTTTATAGTAGTTTTGGGCTGGACTACAACAATTACATTTTTCTTGTAATAGCATAAAAAGTCAAAACTGCCTAATTTTTTCCTTCTGAGAAAAAGCCGTCATGACAACTAAATGGACAAAAGAATCTCTTTAGAGTAAATACCAAGTTGCTGAAGTCTGAAGCAAAAAAATCTCCTGATTGAATTCTAAAATGTTAGAATAAACTCTGTTCTTGTTCCTTCTCAGGCTTCAGGTGTAAAGGAAGCAGTTTAACAGGCATTCTTCAGCTTTCATTGAGGTTAAAAAGAGGATATTGGTTCAAAGCTTGATCGTAATCTCCTAGGTTTGAATTCACCTACACTCAATTAGATCTGAATGCGACTGAAAGAAGTAAGAGAATGACTTCTTGAGAACAGAGGTATTTATCTCCGCTACTATTTACTGTGAGGGAAAACATGGGTGTCAGCATCATTCCCTACTTTTTTCAGAACTCTGACCAAAGTACCCTACGTTGAGATGTCCTTCTCTTAGAGGTACAAAAGCCTTCCACTGTCATCTGTGTCACTGTGGGAATAAAGCAAGCTATTTTCATCTCACTTATATTTTAAAATTACAAGGTAAAAGTATACTGACAAGCAAATTAAAAACTTACGACCTGGTGAACATACTACAATGTTAATTTACAACAGGTTGATATTCTACAGAATTACTGGCAGCCCTTTTTCTCAGAATGTCAGCCCTTTATTTTTAGCACATATTAACTGCGTAGGGAAGGTGAGGGAGCGCAGGGGAGTGATCACCCGTCTGTACAAACTGTTAGCATTACTTGCAATCCATTAGGTGTCATTTGCCAACAAATTTATCAGGCTGTCAGTGGTTTTTTGGCGCTATTTTTCATTTTTCAAAAGTCCAAAGAACAGTTTTAGATTTTAAATGAGGTTTAAAGTCCTAGCCCAGTCCAAGGCATCAGTTTTGTACTACGTTCTGCCTCTGGGAACTGCTCCCCAACCCAGCCCAGCCCTCTCTAGCATCTACTGAGAGTCTAGCCTGTTCTAGCAAATCCTCATGCAGATTTAATACTTCATTGCAGGTGTTTTCCTTCGCAGTAGATTTTTACTGTTTAACTCCTCATTAAAAGGCATGGCAGCATGACACAGCTCAAAAGCGAAGCACCTCTGCAACACTAAACGTGGCCGTCATCGCTGTGGGAAATTGGATGCCATCGCAGGCAAGGCCAAGACTAACGTAAGCAATCACCCCGTAGGAAAAGGAAAAGATGCTGTTTCCTCTGATATGGTACATGAAGGTACTGATTACGCATCCGGAACCCAAAGCCACCAAGGGCTCAGAAAAGCTGTTTGTTCGTGTGTATCGTGTTAGAATCCAGAGCTGAGCAAACGAACCAACTCTAGGGAAGGTGGCACAGGAAAATGGAAACACGTAAAATATTAGCAACTCTGGTATTAGCTCTGATATTTGCAACTACTGTGCCACAACCACTTCCAGCAGAAGCTGACTAGCATCAAGGCTATCTGAAATCTGACTTTCAGAGGAATAATGCAAAATGAAAATGAGGTGCAGCCAACAAACCAAGCTTTACTGTCACATCTGTGGCCCTAAGGGCCTCATGTCAGTAAGCAAAGTTAATAAAAAAAAAAAAGCAGTCAGCTGTCTTGTAATTTTTTTCTTTTTTTTTTTAATCCGCAAAATGGTCAGAAAAGTGATGTGCACATGTGGCATGTCTCATTAATACTCATCATTTGTGTATTCGTGCATCACACAGGCTAGAGATAGCTCTAACTCTGCCATATGCCTGTTCCTCTTTGCAGACTGTGGGTATTATATACACACATTCATGCATGCTAATATTTTGCCATACTATAGATCTGATAATATTCATCGCTGTCCTCAAAAACCATGCTCTAAAAACACTATGTAAGAAACAGGTTATAATATATTTTTACCTCTTCCTACTTTTCTTAAAGTCTCTACACTTCTCTTATTTACAGGAATTTCTCTTATTTACATTAACTGTGTGTCTTTGGGGTTTTGTCTCTTCTGCCGTGACAAAAAGATGATCTTGGAAATCAGGGAAGAAAAATCTTGTTCATTACCAAAACCAAAAATGTTTTGAAGACACAAGAGCAACAGATAAGGAATCTTAGTCTAGTTTAAACATTATGGACTCAGATAGCCTTAGCAAACCAACACAGAAAAAGGGAAGAGCTATGAAAAATTGAGGAACGTAAGAAAAACAAAACTAAAAATTAACATTACTCCAGGCATACTAAGAAGTGACAGGTATAAATTATTCACAAATGAAATAATGCAACTTTTGCTCCATTTAGAACAAAACATTAATTTCTGTGCAGTTATTCAACAACTATACTTCACACCAGATCACGGGATTGCTCAGTCTTAAAAATGTAAGGATTTTTAAATACTGTCAATTGTTCCAGAGGAAGCAGAGAAGACTATATTGAGAAAGCCTTATTTTGTAAGAAAGTGATAGTAAAAATAGGTTTTGATTGATATGTAAGATCAAAAGGAAAGCAGATGAACTCTTCAGAATACCAAAATGCCCATGAGAAGAATCTCCTGCAAAGCTCCTTCATGCACAAGGGAAATTCTCTCATCATTCCAAATTTTTTTTAGTTTGTGGAGGGTGCGTCAGAATGAGCTCTTATTTGTGGGAAATGGGTTATAGGGGTTTTTTTTAAGTAGGAAAGCTTTGTGGAAGGATAGGGTATTCCGTATCTTTACAAAAATCCACTTGATTATTTATTAAGTCCCCTGAGAAGGTTTCACTGGAATGTAGGACTATTCAAAAAGAGGCATTCCCCGCTTCCAGAACATTCACCTCATTTCCAAAACTCTAAGGACTTACAGGAAATTTCTCAGACACCGTAACTTCTCTGATCATATCCGTATAGATAAGCCCATAACAATATTGGTTCCGGAACAGAAGGATGCACAGAAGGTTAAACTGGTGAGCTGCTTAGCACAGACAAGAACAGCGATACACTGAAGACTGTAATTTCTTTACCATCATAGGTTTTTTTTTGAAGCTGCCAAGTAATGAAATGGCATCCACTCCACAAAGCAGTGACTTGAGCAAGTATTTCCTTCATCCATACAATTGCCATGACTGGTCCTCAAACACTCAGTGCACCCTGACTTAACCTACATGTGGGATACATACCCAACATACAGTTGCTTTGAAAGACTTAGAAAAAAATAAGCAAGTGTTTTGGAGGGTTTTTTTTTTTTTTTTCTTTCCCTTCCCCCCACCCCATCCCTGCATCCCTAAAATATCTGATATGGTCACTTCATGTGAAAGTCGGCCTAGCTGGAGACAGCACTCTACAGCTCTCTGGAACCACACCTTTACAAAGAGGCAAACTTCCCTGTCCACAGGGACAAAACATGCTCAGAGGAATCACACGTGTCTGCACGCACACAGAAGGATGAGAAGAAGAAAAAATAATGAACAATTACAGAAGAGATACAGTGTCCGTACCCTGGTAAGGTCCATGCCAAGTTTGAGCTGAGAGATGAGATGGAGAATTACACTACGTTGATCATCCATGACTCCTAAATCCTCCTCTTCATTATCTTCAGTATCTGTCATTTCATCTTCAACTAGGATCAACTCAGAAGCTGAATGCTGAAATGAAAAGAAACATCACCATCTGGACAAAAAGATACCGTATGGTTTTTTCCACTATAGATGTTCTCAATGGAACTAAAGACAGCCTCTGTTAAAACCAAAATAAGATACAAATTCAAAATAAAAAAATCCAGTGATGGGTTCATAGAGTATTTTGGTCCTGTCCTCAGAACGACAGCGGCAAGTATCAGATGCTAACACATTATCCTCTCATATTTATTTTGCAATGATGCCAGACAAAAATCATAGCATATTAAAGTAACAGGTGTTCTATTTATTAAATAAAAGTACAGAGTCAAAAATTAGTCTTCAAGAGTTTGTTTCATAAATCTCTCCAGCAAATATTCATACTTCGTACCTAGATGTAGCATGACCTGATTTCACACTGTTTCTTTTCTTCTCCTTTCCTCTATCCTACTTCCAACTTAGGTATCTAAGAAAGTCAAGACTATTCACTGGAGGAGATAAAAAGATGACTGTAATTAAAGTACATGCTTTTCAAAAAAACCCAAAGACATTAGATTTTACGGTGTAAGGCAACGCCATGACTCTTTATGACACTTGCAACACCACGCTGCTTCACAGCACAACAATGCCAATACTGCCCAGTTTCCAGGTATACAAGCTGCAGATGAATAGCGAGGCATCAAGCCATCCCCCTTCAAGAATAACTTTACAGCAGAAAGGGATAATGATTTGTGATATTTTATTTCTCCTCAGGGTTTACAATATATTACTAACAATAATCCAAGCAGGTGGTAGTTATTTGGTTCAATCCCTTGAAACCACTCTGCAAGCCTTCCAGGTATGTATTCAGGTAAGCTCTTTGTACTTAAAAAAAAAAAAGTTGGGTTATGTAGCTGAAAAATTTACAGCCCAGCATTTCATTATTGCCCAAGGATTCCATGCTGTAAATGAGACAAGACAACCTGCAAAAGTTAGCATTCCTTCACGCTAAATAGCATTTCTACAGAAACAGCTAGTTCATTACCTACAATGAGAAATTTTTCATCTCACTGTGAAAGTCTTTGCAACCGAAAAGTTTCATTAAAACCAGCTGATATTCAGAATTAAGTTTCAAAGAAATATTTCTGAATGATCACACTAGAAACCCCTCAGGTGAACAGCAGTTTGTGTAAGGAGAGCGTCCCTGAAATTTAGTTACTACAAATGCTTCCAAGATTTGAATAAAGTGTTTTCTTTTTCTTGCCTTTTTTTTTTTTAATTAAACAAATGTTTCCATAGCTATACCCAAAAGAATGAAAGCTATTCCCAAAAGAATAGCTATTCGGTGAAATCCAAGGACATCTGAAAGACACTTTACAATTACTTTATTTAGAAAGTAGAATATGTAGATTACATAAAACAGAATCTGGCGAACCGTAACCTCAACAGCTTGGAGCTTTTCAAAAGGACAAAACCACACTTTCGTCTTCCTACTCCCCCTAGAAAATGAAAGGATAGAACGATAAGCCCTTTCCTCCCAAAATGCACAGCATTATTATCCAACTGACGCCTTACAGACGAGTTCAATTAACATAAAACCTGACAACCTCATACAAAATTATCAGCCGGGGAGACATAAAGCACCGAAGCCTGGCTCAATTGTACAGGCTACGATTCATTTGGAGGGAGCGTGGAAAAAGCAGTAGCGGAACTTACAGTAGATGCTTCCACAGGAGGTTTCCCTTTGATCCAGCTTGACCTCATTGAGAGCACTGAGCTACGGAATAAGCACTGCTGCTTCTGTTACTGCCATGAACAGAGCTCACGGCAAACAAGCCCCAGCAGAAATTAAGAGCAGTAGGAAAAAAAAAAAAAGGCAAGGGAACCTCCCCTCCTCATACCCACCCCCTCTTTTGCTATCCAACGAGTTGGAGAGTGTGCACCGGATGCCAATCTGCTCCTTGCGTTTCTCGTCACATGGCATTGAGATCAGGGAGCTTAACTGCACGCAGCTCCGACTGGGAAATGGTGCTGCTGTTTCCCAAAGGATATCCTGGGGGCCTGTTCTCCAGGTGGGGGGCAGAAGGGAGGGGGCACAAGTGTGCATGAGTGGGGGGGAGAGAGAGAGAGAGAGAACGTGCTAGCAAGTAACATGCTTTCAAGTGAACGTTAACAGCTGCGTAACCTTTAGTTGTTAACGGCATCACAAAATGAACAAATGACACATCGACAAGTTCACAGAATAAATCACGTATTAAGAATTTTCTTTTTCTTCTGAAGACTGCACATTCAGCCAGGGACAGAAATCCTTCTTTCTTTCCTGCCAAAACAGGTAATTAGGTTTTCCATGCCTTCCAAAGTGTTACCAACGCAATAGCAACTACCTCTCATTGCTACTTTACAAAATGGGCACAGCGAGGGCAAGCAACCCTATAAACAGTTTAGGTGCTCAGGAAAGTAGTAGTTAAATGAAAGGCTTTCTGCTCGTCAGAGAGGATAAGTACAATGTAACATTACGATTAAGCACGTTTAATGACCATTCTGCAATAAGGACTAAAATTCTAATTATCTTAACTATCCCCTAGTTTAAGAACACATGCAAGGGCATCAAAAATCCCACAACTCTACTATTCGAGTTACCAACATACTAGTGATCTTCAGTGCACATAGAATGACATCAGTTTTCTGCATCTTTTCTCACTTTCCAAGAAACTAAGAACTTAAGTAGCAGTTTACAACTTGTGTCACAGGAACTGAACAGCAGTCACCTTCAGTAAGCAACATCCTTTCTGTATTTCCCTCTATTCTCATTAGCTGTTCTGGGTAGTTACTGAATTGCTTTTTAAGAGCACAGAGAATAGACATTTCTTTTTTAACTAATGCAGATTTTCTTTGAAAAAAACAACACAAGGTGTGCGGACATACAGCCACAAAATACAAAGCTACTGTATCTTTAAAGTGTCATAAAAGTCCAAATCAGGTTTTTAATTCTTTTCCTTTCCACAGAAATACTATGCAGTTTAGTAGTAACCAATATGTAAGCATTCAGCAGAATGCAAAAGATTATGTTGAGTGATTATCCTTTAATGGCAGCTTTTCTGAATTATCAGACACAGACATACGTGTGTGTGTCCTCCCTCCGCCCCCTAAAATAGAATTGCAAAGCTGAACGAGGAGAGCAGTGATTTGCTCCATTCCTGTGTGGTCAGAGAATAACGTAAAAGCTATCGAGCTAGGTTGGGGTGCTAACCCTCAGGGGCTTATATTTAAAATCATTTTAATCAAAATGAGTTTGCAACACCAGGCTGAAACATCAGGATTTTTCAGAAAAATCTGAATGGAAAAAGAACGGATCATTTCTAGAAATGCCCTGAAGGGATTCACTTCAAAGTTTAAAGGCCAAAGACATAAAAACACACGCCGGCAGAGATCTATTTTAAACAGGTCACTTCATTAGAACTGGGATCGATTAACTCGGAGAGGTCATCTGCTGGTATACAAAATGGATGTTCTAGTCAGCAGTTTTCATCAGAAAACATGCTGATTCTTTTTTAAAGAGATGAAACCTGTAAGGGAAAGAAATTGTTTCTGAAGGAAACATTCCGCATTTAAAAAAAATGTCTTCAGGGAAAAGACGCTTTGACAAGCCTGGGATAGAATCAGAGTTAAAAGGCACATTTCTGTCAAAGGGTAAACCTGCCTCTGTTCTTCCAAAACCTCTTCCACAAGTGAATTTTTCAAATTAACCGCTGTGCTGGAAATTAATTTTTAGCTACTTAGTTCAGTTGTAAGGCTCAGAGCTTGGTTTTCCAACATACTTCACAAACCATATCATGCAACAGTACATCAAGCATGACGTGGATCTCATCTTGTTTATTTGTTGGGGAGGGGAGAGAAAGGAATACAGAGAATCACAGTATCATTTAGGTTGGAAAGGGCCTCTTGAGATCATCTTGCCCAACCTCCCTACTCAAGCAGGGACACCTAGAAACAGATGCCGAGGATCGAGCCCAGCTAGGTTTTGAGTATCTCCAAGGATGGAGACTCCACAACCCCTCTGGGCAACCTGTGCCAGTGTTTGAGGCACTACTGAGAAGACTCTGGCTCCTGTTCTTCACTCCTTCCCATCAGGTATTTACACACGTTGCTGGGCTCCCCTGAACCTTCTCTCCTCCAGGCTGAACAGTCCCAGCTCTCTCAGCCTCTCCTCATGTGAAGGACGCTCCAGAACACTCATCATCTTTGTGGACCTGTGCTGGACTCACCCCAGCAAGTCCATGTCTCTCTGGTACTGGGGAGCCCAGAACTGCACAAACCACCGCAGATGTGGCCTCACCTGTGCCAAGCAGAGGGGAAGGATCTCGACCCGCTGACAACAAGTCTTCCTAAAGCAGCCCAGGATGCTGCTGACGCCTTTGCCACAAGAGTGCATTGCTGGCTCACGGTCAGCTTGTTGGCCACCAAGATCCCAAGGTCTTCTCTGCAGAACTACTTTCCAGCCAGGTGGGCCCCGGCCTGTACTGGTGCAGGGGCTCCCCCTCAGACGTCCCCGCATGCAGGACTTTGCACCTCCCTGTGGTGAACTTGGTGAGGTTCCTCTCTGTCCAGCCTGGCAGGGTCCCTCTCCACGGCAGCACAACCCGCTGCCTCATCAGCCATTCCTCCCAGGTTTTTTATCATCTACAAACTTGCCGAGGGTGCCCTCTGCCCCATCGTCCAGGTCATTAATGAAGATGTTGAACAGTATCGGCCCCAGTATTGACCCCTGGGCTATACCACTAGTGACTGGCCTCCAAGGACCTTGTACCACAACCCTCTGGGCCTGGCCATTCAGACAGTTTTTAATCCACTTCATGACGCACTTATCTAATCGATACCCTGTCAGCTTGTCTATGAGGATTTTAGAGAAGACAGGGTTGAAAACCTCACCAAGGTCAAAGCAAACATCCACTGCTCTCCTCACATGCACCAAGCTCGTCACTTCAGTGTAGAGGGCTATCATGTTGGTTAAGCATGATTTCCCCTTACTAAACCCACGCTGACTACTCCTGATCACCTTCTTGTCCTTCACATGTTTGGAAATGCTTTCCAGGGTTAGTTGCTTCACCACCTTCCAAGAGATCGAGGAGAGGCTGACCAACCTGCAGCTCCCCAAATGTTACCAGAACATCCTGACATGGCCTTCTTGAAGACAGGAGTGACATTTGCTTTCTTTCAGTCTTCACGAACCTCTTCCAAACACCTTTAAAGACAATAGATGGTGGCCTCGCGATGACATTGGCCAACTCCCTCCATGCTCACAGGTGCATCCCATTAGGGTCCATAGAGTTATGTACATGCAGCTTAAGTGCTGCCTAACCTGTTCCTCCTCCACCAAGGGTAAGTCTTCCTCCAGACTTGTCCTCTGGTCTCAGGGGCATGGGATTCCTGAAGGCTGATGTCACCAGTAAAGACCAGAGGCAAAGAAGGCATCGCGTAACTCTGCCTCTTCTCCATCATCATAATAAGCAGAGACCATATGTATCCTGACAGGGACACAATGAGGACTTCTACAAGTCTCATAAGGCAACTCTTCATATAATTACACCGCAATATTCTAAGAATTTTCATTAAGACATGAGAAAGTTTTTAGCTAGTACAAAAAGGCCTAGTCAGGAGCAAGAAGATGAAGCTCAGGAACTTAAAACATCCGGATAAAAAGACATCATCTAATAACGTTCCAAGGGAAGTAGTCCTTAAGTCTTTCTACATTCAAAAAACCTGCAAAAGATACTAAAACAAACAAACAAAAAAACCCACACTGTATGAAACATTTCTGCATTGAGAGAAAGATGGAATAAATTACTTGCAGGGCTTGTTCAGAAGCAACATTAAACAGAATTAGCATTTTCAGACTAGGCAAGGATTGCCGTATTTTCTGTAGTTATCTAATTACAATTAGTTCTACTAGTGCACATAAAAGTCAAAGGCCTCATTTTGATTTTCAAATTCCCTTCGTTAATGATATAGGTTTGCAAGCATCATTTACACTTGCACTTGTGTAACTTGAGAGCTTGCAAACAGGTTTTCTGTGGGTGTAAGATTAAATATAACTCTGTAAGGTCAGAGAGCTTTAGCACGTTTTACACTAATGCAAGAAATTGGCCCCAGAAGATTTTCACCAGTCTCAATACCAAAGTTAGAATTCTCTTTGTAAAGCAGATACAGTAAGAATATCCCCCAAAATAGTAATACATAATGAGCTGTTAGCTTCTTGCAGGGCTTGTCACTGTATCAGATTCAACAAAACCGCACTAACTTGCATGCGTCACTTGTCTTCTCTTCTTCTAGCATGTACACCTTCAAACTATTTAATTGCATTTACTACCAGCTGTGGCATGCACCTGATAGAAAAGGAGCTTACTGCACCCATCCCTCATTAGCAGTGATTTGAAGCTCAAATGTAGCTTGTTGAGTAAGTTGTACTTATTGAACTGTTTTATTTACAGACTAGCATATTAGCATGCTGGTGTGGTGGGTTGACCCTGGCTGGAGGCCAGGTGCCCACCAAAGCCGCTCTATCACTCCCCTCCTCAGCTGGACATGGGGAGAGAAAAATGTAATGAAAGGCTCGTGGGTTGAGGGAAAGACAGGGAGAGATCACTCGCCAATTACCATCATGGACAAAACAGAGTTTGGGAAGTTAGTTTAATTTGTTACCAA